TTGGGCTAGCAAAATTAGTAGGTGACATCTCTTTTGACAGACCTTTCCTTCATCTTCTTGATCTTTTTGAGATATCACTAATTTAATTTACTTGTGTTTAATATATTATTTTAGTTTTCTTTTTTTTTGAGACAGAGTCTCGCTCTGTCGCCCAGGCTGAAATGCAGTGGCGCCATCTCAGCTCACTGCAATCTGTGTCTCCCAGTTCAAGTGATACACCTGCCTTGGCCTCCCGAGTAGCTGGGATTACAAGGCGTGTGCCACCATGCCTGGCTAATTTTTGTATTATTAGTAGAGATGGGGTTTCATCATGTTGGCCAGGCTGGTCTCCAATTATTGACCTCAAGTGATCCATCCATCTTAACCTCCCAAAGTTCTGGGATTACAGGCGTGAGCCACAGTGCCCAGCCCCATAATGTGAATATTAAGAGCCAGAATTTTTTTACTTTTACTCAATGATGGGCCAAATACAATACTATTGTAGAAACACTGTCATGTCAGTAAGGTATTTATGTCACCTTTTTGGCAGATTCACTGATGTTCTACTAGTTTTTTTCTAAGGAATTTCCATTAATTACTAAGACGCCCCTAGTACTCCAACTACACTGGTCTTCTAGTCCCTGACAGTCTTTCCTTAAGGTCTCTACATTTTCTTTGCTTCTGCCTGAAAAGCTGTACTTGTAAACTTTACTGGGGCTCACTTCCCTACAGTCTTGGCTGTAACATCACCTTTGCAAAGAGCTTTCTGGATAACCTTGGCTGATATAATGCTCTCCTGCAATACACTTTATTTTTCTGTCTAGCACTGATCATCACCTAAACTATAGTGTTTATCTGCTAGCTTCAAGAAAGCAGGGGACTTTGTGATTCATAGCTTTACTCCAGGTTTCAAGAATGGTGCCTGACACAAGGTACTCAAAAAACAGCAGCTGAATTAAGTAGCAAACAAGTAGGCTAAACTAAGAATGGTCTACTCCTTTTTTCCAACAAACTTTGCACAGCACTTTGTGTGGTACCTCTGTTTCATTTCATGACAAGAGTCAACTTGCTACTTCCATAGCTACTTAACAAATTGTGCTAATGACAATCCTGATGTTATAACTGAGTTGTGTGTTCCAACCCAATTTTAAAAAACTTCCTGGTCAATGATGAGCTCTTTCTAAATTTTTAAAATGAAAAATCAATGATTCATTCCTAGTTTTAAAAATATATAAAATCTAAATGAAATTTCACACCAATTAGAAGCGTGAGTATTATTTTAAAAAGTGACTTCCCTTCAGTTCAGGGTTCTGGATTAGCGATTTTAACATTTGAATAATCTCAAGCAGGCTTTGAAATTAACACCTCATATCCCTGAAAGTGAAAGAATCCTTAGGAAGCACAGGAGGCTTCCCCATCACAGCAAGTTCAGTCTCCTTTCAAGGAAACAAAATTCACAAAGATGAGCAAGATACCTCCCCACAAATCATGATAAATTCCGGGCAATGGAAGAAAGCTGATGAAAAATACTTGCTTTTTAAGTTAAAAAAAAATTTTTTTTTCAAATAAATATGACCCCAATTCAACAAGCTTAATTACAGGAAATAGGACTTTTAAAGTGCTCATCTAACAAAAGGAAGTTCATCTTTTTCGTTTTTATTACACTTTTATAATACACATTTCTAAATTTTGACGACTATAGTTAATATTAGGCATTAGGTACCCTACTTTGTTCCAGGCACTTTAAAATGTACTAACTTTTACATGTCTAATAATTTGTTTTAAAAATAAACTTGGTAGCTCACTAGCAACAATTATCATAAATTATTGGCATTTTTTTTATGAAACTATTTTTTTTTTTTTTAAAAGATATAGGGTCTTACTATGTTGCCTAAGCTGGAATGCAGTGGCTATTTACAGGTGTGATTCCACTACTGATCAGACCAGTATCATTTTAAGTGACAGAAAAACAAAATTACTGAAAGAGGGGCTTGCTTTAAATTATTTATTTAAGCTTGTTTGAATTATCTACTGACTATCTTAGAGAAAGAAGACTAAAGCTTATCATTGCTGTAGGAAACACTATGCATAGTCTTTCTCAATCTTATTTGTGGAGCCTCAAATCTTTATAAACTACATTCTAAATACACTGTGTTTTTACTAATAATATAATCCTTGTATAATAATTTACCACCAAACTATAACATATAGCAGCCAGAAATCAAGACTGTTAAAGTATATCACTTGTTTAAAAGAAAAACGAAAACTCTACAATTACATATCCTTGTGAGATAAATAATTCAATTTCACACATTTTGAAATCTAGAGAAATGACTTCTCTCTCTCAACCTAAAACATACTATATACTCAGTAAATCTTTGTTAGGTAATAGCAAAGCCAAGATTATTTTATGACTACCTAGTACTGACTTTGGCATTCAATGTCCAAAGAAAGTGTAGTCTAAAAAAAAAGAAGTCAATTACCTTTTCAGTGCCTCTTTTCTTTTCCCGAGGCTGATTAAGTTTTGCCTGTCTATCAACCAAAATCTTCTGCCAATATCTTTGTTCGTGATCACCTTAAAAACAAACAAAAACTCTGATGGATTAAAAGAACATATCTAAAAAACCATATTCAAGGCATTACATTCTCAATAATAGAACTAGGATAGTTGTTGGATTATATTTAATCCTATTTTATACATATTACAGAATAGAAAACAAATTATTAGTTTCGCCAGGCATGGTGGCTCACGCCTCTAATCCCAGCACTTTGGGAGGCAGAGGTGGGCAGGTCACCTGAAGTCAGGAGTTGGAGAACAGCCTGGCCAACATGGTGAAACCTCGTTTCTACTAAAAATATAAAAATTACCGGGTGTGGTGACTCACGCCTGTAATCCAAGCACTTTGGGAGGCTGAGGTGGATGTATCACCTGAGATCAGGAGTTCAAGACCAGCCTGACCAACACGGATAAACCTCGTCTCTACTAAAAATACAAAATTAGCTGGGTGTGGTGGCGCATGCCTGTAATCCCCGCTACTTAGGAGGCTGAGGCGGGAGAATTGCTTGAACCCACGAGGGAGAGGTTGCGGTGAGCCGAGATTGCACCACTGCACTCCAGCCTGGGCACTAAGAGCAAAACTCCATCTCAAAAACAAAACAAAACAAAAAAATATATATATATATAAATTAGCCAGGCAAGGTGATGCATGCCTGTAATCCCAGCTACTCGGGATGCTGAGGCGGAAGCTTGAACCTGGGAATCGGTTGCAGTGAGCTGAGACTGCCTCACTGCACCCCAGCCTGAGTGACAGAGCAAGATTAAAAAAAAAAAAATTACTAGTTTCATTAGCCAAACTGAGAAAATATATTAGCCACAATAAGGAAAAGAGAAACTTCTATGAAGTTTTACCAGAAAGGATCTCGAGTTTCCAGCAGTGTTTCTTGTTAATTTCTGCATATGCATTTATTACTGTTTGAGCATCCTCAGGAGTTTTAAATCTAGCATGACATTCTGTATCTCCTTCTAGCAAATCAACATAAAGAACTTCTGAGATTGCTGCCAAAGTATCCTGCATTAGAGTTAAGTAGAAAGATTTAAAATAAAATAAAAAAAGTTTCACAATAATTCTAAAACTATTCCAATGGTTATGCCAGAATATATTATGTAAATAAACCATTTTGTAGATTAATGAGGAGCAAATATCCTATATCAAACATTTCTTATAAACCATGTTCTTAAAAATATATTTGAATTAAAAGGAAACCAATTAATGTTAACTCTAATAATTTATTTTCCTTTATTTTCTTTAAATCACATCCTTCAAATATGCACTAGAATGGGGCTATCCTATAAGGACAAC